GTTGCTACCTCAAAAGAGGAAGGAAATCACAATGAAGAAGAATGGGACATGCAGGCTTCTTGTGCGACAGTGGAGATAAAAGTTGAAGTTGAGGCTAACAAAGTGGCTTTGTCAACTTCCAACCAAAGTAGAGTTGACTACATCAAAAATTGGATAATTGACTCTAGAGCTGCTAGTCACATGACAGGAGATGAGGAAAAGCTATTGAACTTGTTAGAATATAAAGGAAACAGAGTGGTAGTGACAACTGATCGATACTCGACTTCCAATCAAGCAAATTGGAGATGCAGTGATAACACCATGCACGAGCTCTCAACAAGTAAAGGTGAAAAATGTCCTCCATGTATTCGGGATGAAAAAGAATTTGTTGTCTATGGCACAACTTACAACTCTTGGAAATTATGTGGTGTTCGAACTGGAGGATGTGAAGGTGTATCAACAATTAAAGATTGAAGGCACATCGATCATGAAAGGAGAGAAGAAGAATTATGTTTATATGATGTCTACTGAAATAGCATATGTGGACAGGACCAGCAAGAATGACACTGTTGACTTGTGGCATGCACATCTTGGGCATATTAGTTATCTTAGATTGCAGGTGATGATGAATAAATCTATGGTGAAAGGCTTACCCAAGTTGGAAGTGTGCAAAGATGCTGTTTGTGCTGGTTGTCAATATAGGAAAGCACATCAACTTCCATATCAGGATTCCAAGTTCAAGGCCAAGGAACCACTGTAGTTGGTACACTCGGATGTCTTTGGTAAAGTCAAACAATCATCAATTGGTGGAGCACATTACATGCTGACATTTATTGATGACTACTCGAGGTACGTATGAGTGTACTTCATGAAGGAAAATGAGAAACTTTAGAAATGTTTAAAAGGTTAAAAAAGGAAGTTGAGCAAACAGTTGGCAAGAAAAGTCAGTGCCTTTAAACAAACAATGGGGGAGAGTATACATCAAAGGAATTTTTAGATTATCTACAAGATAATCGTATTCGGCGAGAACTAACTTATCCATATACTCCTCAGCAAAATGGAGTAGCTGAATGGAAGAATAGACACCTTGCAGAAACATGTTGAAGCATGTTGCATGTTAAAAATGTGCCACCTAGATTTTGGGCAGAGTGCATGAAGACTGCAGCCCATGTGATTAACAAGCTTCCTCAAGTTACTTGGGGATTTATATCACCTTTTGAGAAGCTGTGGAACATTAAGCTAGTGGTGAGCCATTTTCGAGTCTTTGGATCGGTGTGCTATGTGTTTGTTCTAGAAGCTCAAAGGACCAAGTTTGATAAGAAAGCAGTTAGATGCATTTTTCTTGGCTATGGTGACCAAAGGAAAGGATGGAGGTGGTGACCCAAATACTGGACGTTGTTGTGTTTCTAGAAATGTTGTGTTTGATGAAGCTTCTTCTTGGTGGTCTCTGCAAGAGGTAGTGTTGCCAGATTCCAAGGAGTTGGAAGAAAAAGTATAGGAAAAACTTGGAGAAGATACTTGCAGGCTGTTGGATACTTAAGAAGTTGTAGAGACGGAAAAGGAGATAGCTTCTGAAAGAACAATGAGTCCATGGTAAACAGAGGTACGAGAGCCCATGACCAAAGAAACAAGACAAGGTGAAGTAGAAGAAGCAGAACAACAGCTTGAGCAGCAGTTAAGACACTTCACCTGAGAGCGAAAGCCAAATCCTAAGTATGCTAATATTGCTCTTATTGAAGCAAGTCGGGTGACCAAACCGGAGAACTATCAGGAAGTTGCACAAAGTATTGAATGGAGAAAAGCAATGGAAGAGGAGATAAAGGCTTTAAAGCAAAATCAGACTTGGGGATTAGTACCCAAGCCAAATGATGTAAAGCTAGTATCTTGCAAATGGGTCTACAAAGTTAAGACTCGACCAGACGGGAAGATAGAGAGTTATAAGGCCAGGCTTGTTGCTCGAGGGTTCTCTTAACAATATGGGATAGACTATAATGAAACTTTCAGTCTGGTGGCTAAGATTAATAATGTTAGAGTCTTGCTTGCTCTAGCTGCAAGCAAATCATGGAAGCTATTGCAGATGGATGTGAAGAATGCATTTTCTCATGGAGAAATTGATAGAGAAATTTATATGGAGCAACCATGTGGATTTGAAGACAAAAGGCATCCAGAGTACGTCTGCAAATTAAAGAAGGCACTGTATGGACTCAAGCAGGCACCGAGAGCATGGTACTCTAGATGCTTGCTTGAGTATATATGGTAAATTAAAATATTGTAAACAAAAAAAAAATACTCTAGAATATGCAAAATTGGTGTACATCATTGACCTTTGTAAGTATGAAAAGCAGAATTGAAGAAGAAGCCAGTGTGTGGGTGTGAGTTCAATAGAAAAAGGTGTTCTGCTACTTCCTCTTTTGAACAACAGTTTTGGTGGTTCCAATGCTTACATGGCAAAATCAGCCCCTGTACTCATCAACTAGTGGCAAATCAACCCTCAAGATAAATAGATGCTTTTGAACCCTTATACTCTTCAAATGATAATCTCTTCATTCCTCCTTTTAAGCACTAAAATCCTATCATAAAATTAATGCAAGGAAGAAGGGAAAGAAAAAAAAGAAATGAAAAGAAAAAAGAGAGAGAGCTTTCACAATATTAGTTACCCTCTCTTCACCAAGGTCAACTCAAGAGCCAATTAGTAATAGATGCTACTTGTCGGTCTCAAGCCAAGAGTTTTGCACCCTATGTCTTTTTTGAAATTGGCTCAAATTTCCTGCATAGACAAACACAAAAGTTTTTAGATATGGACACTTATATCTTGGGTAAGAGTAAATAGAAGTATTTCTCTTTTTCCTTTTTTCTTTTTGTTGAGGGATAAATTTGCATGGCTGCGTAACTAACAACAGGTGCAGGTCCATATCAACAAAGGACCGCGATACTTATCTTCCCACATCCGACATGTGATTCCAATTTTCTACTAATTGCTATTGTGGAATCAACATTGCCAGAGGGGGGCACTTATTTGTTTTGTTGGAAATATCGCGGAATGTGACTCACTCTAGCATCTATCTCCACAAACATGGCCAGACATGGCTAAGTCTATTTTAGCAACATGGTTGGGCGCTTCTTGATAGCCATGTCCTCTATAGCAATGTTCTCTGCTGTATCTCGTTGTTCCCAACAATGGACAAAGAGCTTATTTTGCTACATGGCTCCCATCAAAGGACAACATGCTGATCTATATAGCTTCAAGCGTTGGACAATGGGCTGAGCATCCACTCCTACATATCTTTATCACTGGTTCCTATCAATGGACAATGGGCTGATTATATTACATTTACAAAGCTCCCAATGATGGATAAAGGACCAGATCTGCTACATATCTATCTCACTGGTTCTCAGAAATGGACAAAGAGTCAGTGCAACTCGGTACGAGTAGCGTGAGACCGGTAACAGTTGCAACCCTGCAATCGGATGGGATGGCTACCCTTCAGCGATGAAAATCCATCAAGTAGCGGCCCACGATCCCTTAGTGGTCGCTCATGCATGGTGGTGCGGTGCCCAACGGGCAACAACAACCAGGACCACCCTCTAACGATGCAAGTTTGGCAAGAAAGACTAGCATTTGTCAGTGGTATCACACCTTGTCGTATTAGAGACCATGGATGTGGTTGGCATCCCCCTTCCATGGAGACAACTCCACCTCATTCTATCACATTTTCATCACTATAGCGGAGTCTGGTTTAACGAGATTTATGCCTTCATGACTTGGTAGATTA